AAGATATCAAGCAAATAGCATTTGTACTTCAGCACAATCTGTATTTACTTTGAAGACTTTGTTTAATGAAACCTAAACATAAAAGCGTGAGTTATTAATAGATGACGATTTTCTCTTCAAAGAACTCTGATTAAATTGAAACTTACTAGAAATCAGTACATTGCAGCTACCAATTGACAAGAATCGCTGACGTACATTATGAAACGCATCTGAAAGTTCAAAGTAACTGCCATTCACCCATAAGCGAAACCTCTCTATTGAATCCATGGTCATAATTCTATTAATTGATAAAAGAGATCAAACGCAAAGATCTAAAAGAAAAATTATTAAACAAGGAGCAAGAATCGAATATTAATAACATATTATAAAACGCTCAAGTTATCAAGTATCTCGTCTGAATATATAAAGGGTGTGCGCCTTCATCGAAACTTAAATTTTACACATGAAATGCTATTTTCAACTACATAATACTACTGCTCATTCGCTGGGAAACTTTAATAGAAATACTCCCCTCACTGATACGACGGCTACTTATCATCAAAAAAAATACACAGAACCTATCCAATTCATTGTTTTTTTCTCTTCTTCGCCCCGATCAATGCCTTGCATAAAAAAATAACGTCAGCACCTTACGAAATAGCTTATAGCTTCTCTAAAAAAAGCCAACTCAATTAGAAAAAAATATAATCATCTTATTTTGGTTGAAAACAAGTCGTATCATTCTGTAATCATCAACTGTAAAGTACAACGAGTTGGTCAAATTATACACAACTTTGTTTACTAATCTATTTGTATCAAACGGAAAAAAACTCCACCACCTTAAAGAAACACGAGCCTGTCTATACTTTTTTTTAGGAGCCAAACACAATCTCATAAAAGAACTAACACTTCACCTTCAACCGATTAGAGAAACCACTGATGTCTACCGATTAATTGTGAATGTAGATGTTTTCGTGATGATTCGCAAAGTTTACCTTCTTCGAATCGATAGATAAAATTAATATACGAAGGAATCTTTTCACATAGGAATATATCCTTCCAGTTATTTTCTGGATATGAATCAAACGAGATTAAATGAAACATCATACTTAACTTCTAGTGGATCGGATAAACCTTTTACTTGAAGTAATTCATTGGAAATGAGCACACATTCATACCAGTTTCCATACGTTCACTTCTTTATCTAAATAGATAGAATGATTAAATGAAAATAAAACCTTTAATGTACAAAAAAGCCTTCACATAATTCTCTGGATATGTGAATAACAAAAAAAAAAGAATAATGATACGTAACTTTAAGTGGACCGATTAAACCATTGGCGTGGACTAATTGATTGAGAATAAGTTCATGTTCTTAACATTTTCTAAAGTTCCTCTTGTTTATCTAGAAAGATAAAACGATTATAAATAAATGCGGAAACATCGGATTTGCATCCGATTGTTATGTGTACTTCAAAAAGCAAAAATTTACATCCATTTTTTTCTGTTCCTATTTCTTCGTAAATGTTTTATATCATGCACAGCAAAACTAGAAAGAGGAACGAATACACTATATTGAAGATACAACTCATAAAGACTGTTGCGAAGTGACGAGTTCTATTTACTTTGAAAAACTTGGTATTGCTCATATGAAAAATAAACAATTATCACACCGACACATTATCAAGATATATGAGTTTTTCGACACTGATACAGAGGAATCTTGTGAGCAACCCGTTTACCCTTATAATTTTGCATAATTTTGCAGCCCATGAAATTTTCTATGTAATGGTATATGATAGTTGAAGAATTAATTTGATTATGATAAATCTTTGCGGTTGAGAAAAAAATGATAATAAAATAGAATAGGTCAATATTCACATAGAAATTAAGGATATTTTTTGCGTAACTCAACAAATTCTTAACGGATTACTTTCATCTTCGAGCTCGACTGAGATATCGATGAGATCATTCTGTGTACAAAATTTCATGACAATTGGATGAGGCTTTTAAAAGTTATCGTGTTAATGGCCGAACGACCGGACATACTAACCGATTCTAGAGTGTACTCTCTTTTTGAGTACACAAAAAGGAGATTTTTGCGTATACGACAGGGTCGCTGAAATGATTTTCTGAATATGTAAAATTCATACTTAACTTTCATTCGATTGTGAAAATAAATTGACGCGAAGTGGTTGATTCAAAATGAGCATATGCTCGCACAAGTTCTGAGAACTACTTGTGTTTACCTAGATAAATAGAATGATTGCATAGAATTATATCACTTCACCAAGAAAAAAATCGTTCCAATAATTTACTCGATATTGCACAACACGATGAAGTAAAAAAATGTAATTTACTTATCATTCTGTGTACAAAATTTCATAACAATTGGATGAGGCTTTCAAAAGTTATCGTGTTAACGGACGGCCGGACACACTGACCGAATCTAGAGTGTACTCATTTTTTTGGAGTACACAAAAATGATCTTCATATCGTGATGTATTGACTTCGATCATTCTTCAATATAATATTACTTGACAGAATGACATTTGCATTCGAATCTCCCGTTAAAATCTTTCGCTTAGGTTACGCCGCTCTGTTTGTTTATAAGCTAATTTCCTGGCGTCTCAACACTTATAAAACGTTCTATATGAGATTCGTTCTGTAAATCAGCTTCTTTTCGATGCCCTTGCTTTTATTATTATTAACTTATAGATCCATGTTAAAGTGAAATAGTAAAAAAACTCACACTCCCCTAGCAATGTCAATTAAATATCAATAATTTGATTTAACATGAATCGATCAGATCATAAATATACGATTAAGATTCATCCACTCGACATACGATGACTAAAATATCATCTCGACTATTAGCCATATAACCTAGAAAGTCGCACGAAGTATTATATTGAATTAGAAACATCGTACTAAATATACCATTAACTGCATGCTGAAGAAGATCATCAGCCAGCTGTTGTAGATTCTATTTTTAAAAAAAGTGTTCTCTTTATATTATACAGAAAAATATTTTAACGGTGAAATTTCTACTTTATTTTTAGTACGTTCAATAATTTGTTTTAATTGTTCAGATTTAATTACATCCCATAAACCATCAGAAGATAAAATAATAATATCGCCTTGGCGAACTTTAACTGTTTCTAATGAGCCATCTTTTAAAATTTGACTACAAGAAGATATGCAGAAAAGCAATGCGAAACATTTATCTTCTCCTACCTTTCATTGAGAAAACAAGGCAACCTTATTGGGCCATTTAACGCAAAGAGTTGTCGTGGTACACATCCATTTGAATTCATCGTACATGTTGATTGAGAATATAATTCATTATCACGAAAAATAACAAATCCACTATCACCAATATTTAATGATGTTAATGTACGTTCTTGTTTATCCAACGCAAGTAAACATAATGTACTACTGCCTAGAAGATTTATTCATTTAGTTGTTTTCGAATAAAATAATCTATTCAAAATGTTTTACCTTGAACGTCTGTTGCTTCGACTTGTTCCATGGCTGATTTAATCAAACGTGGTAATTGATCGGGTTTGAAATTATTTCGATTGATAATATTTTCGCAAGCAGATAAAATAGCTCGAGAAAAATCAGCTGGATTTATTCCATAGGAACGATTTCCACCGGCACCATCGGCTAGACCTTTATAAACAATAATGAAATAAGAAAATTTTCTCCTCTCCATTATATAATTTGAACGTACCAACAAAACAAAAGTTTTTATTTTCAACCGCCATTCCAGCATCATCACCAAAATCACCATTCGTTAAATTTGAATTCAATAATGGTGATTTTCCTTGCCAAGATTTCGATGCACCATTAACAGCAATACGTAATGATAAATTTCGTTCAGTTTTATCTACACTGGCTTTTCTATGATTATTTTCGTCAACAGGTAGTTTATTACAACGTGATGACTTGCACTCGTTAGATACTTGTGTATAATTTGTAATACATTTTTCATGGAGTCGATCAATAAATGCAGCGACTCGTATATTGTGTTCGTTTTTTGATAACCAATTTTCATTATAGACTATTTTTTGTTCAATACGAGATGAATAACGATACGAACGATCAGGTGTAAATACGGTTACATGACTAGAATTACTTTTCCGATTTTTATTTTCTTCATCATATTGACGATAATTTGAATACGATGAAATATCAGACGAAAAACTATAAAAACAATTGATTTAAAATTTGATCAGAGGATTATCGAAACGTATTGTGGCTGAGTTAATTTGCAATTCATTGTCCTAAAATTCACTCAGGATACGAACATAAACGAATTTGAAGCTTATCAACTAATGATATTAAAACCATAGACATGACTTTACTAATAATCATCGCTCATATTCTTACTCCTACTTAATACCGACATCTGGATACAATTGAGAACGTCGTCTAGCTTGTCATCCTACCTTTCTTGGATTATACAGAATCCGATTTGTAGGAATTTAGTTTTATACTATCTTGTTTGTACGCATTTGAATCGAAAAGATCAAAGTTCTATTCAAACTTACGTATCGTCGTATGTTTTTCTTGAATCATATGGATCATTATTCTTAATCATTGTTCCATGTTTGTTAAATACATTTGTGCTCAGATAACCATATGATTTTATATTATTAATCGATTTTGGTAGACGAGTTTGTTCAGTAAGAAATTTTTCTACATCAATAAATACTTGTTCGTTATTACGCATTCTAATTGGTCCTCCTCTTCCATAGTCAACATAAACATCATAATCATCTGCAAATGTTGCATACTGTAGTGCATTTAAACCTTTTTCTTGAGCCATAGAACTTAGCTAATACTTGATCAAAAACTCAAAATATGAATGAGCTCGCCTTTGCACGCTCTCTCTCGCGCGCGCGTGTCGTTTTGTTCGCTTATTCGATCAAGGATTGAATGGATACGCAATCGATTGACATGTACGAGCTGTTTGCGGTTCATCGAACAAGCTTGAATATTCTACCGCATATTTAAGTTTGCATCATCATGGTGATGATTGCTTCGATTGATGCTTAATATAAACAGAAGGCAAATCATTAAAGTTGTTGATAGGACAAGAATTTCAGACTAATTTAACTGCTTGGATTGAATTTTAAAACCAGAATACAACTTTTTATTTTGCATTTATTTTCTCAACTCGATATCATCTTAATTTTCATCAATAGATTCTAAAGAAGTACTGTACTCAATGGTGAGCGAGATCGGACTTGGACCTGTCAAGCGAATAAAACCGGAAGTCAATGCTGCAAACACCCTCGCTCTTCTGGTTAGACTTGTATTTCGAAAGATACAGTTTTAAGCCTATAATTAAAGATTTTAAGTTTTATTCTATTTTCTTAACTCTTAAATAATATATATATGATCTAATTGTATGCTTTAAAAAGCAGTAAAGAATAATTGCTCTCTAAGAAATCGTAATAGCTTATTGTTCTTATCATTTCAAAGTCTTGTAAATCTTCAAACGATCAATAGATGAAGCCCAATAACGAGCGAATACCAAAAGCTCAAATAGTAAATCGGCTGAACACTTTTTACTTTACGTTTTTCAGTTAATACGATGATATTTTAGCAGCTTAAATGAATTTCATGCATGTTCATAAGGATTTCAAAGTATTGAATTCGTCTTGTTCAGATGAAAACTATAAATTTTTGACTGAAACCGACTTTTAAATACTGATGGGCATTCTTGTTTCAATCAAATCGAACGTAATAAAGTGTCCGGTGTCAATGACATTGTTGTTTATTTTGTTAGTTAATTACTGTGTGCCTTCAGCAATACAATCAAATATTTGATCTATTGAATTCGACGTAAAATTCTATTTTAGAAAATTTAACAAATACTTTTTTGTCTGATCCGATTCATCTAATAGAAGTCTTAGTACGAAATTCCAAAAAGAATAGTAAAACATGTAGAAGTAACTTCCAATAGCAGACGAATGCCACAAAAAAATCTAAAAGTTAAAAGAAAGTCATTCGCATCCATACTCAACTATTCAACAAAATAACTACATTATGGACGAGTTCATAGACTTAGTTAATGCGACGCGAAGCATATAGCATTTATGTAGTCCGTCGCGTGCACATCCAAATTCAGCATTTTTGTGATGCGATGATGTCAAGAATGGAATTTCGTCTGATACTCGTTGAGATGGTGTTAGTAACATTAAGATCGCTGTATGCTACAAATTTTGTCCGATTTCTCCTGTCGAATTTGGTTTGGGCAAAGTAAAATATGAACCATATTTTTCAATTAGCCGATTCCATGTAGTGCGACTTGACGTTGATTTAGCCATAACTAAAATGACGTGATAATCAAATACTAGCCACGCCATATATCTCTTCACAGCTGATCTAAGATAGTGAATCGTGGATATAAATAATCGTTCTTTAAGAATATATCGCTAAGTATGAATGGAGTTTTCCGCGTGATGAATTTCATTGTGTCTAGTTGAAACATATTCCATATTTTTTGGAATTCAAGATTTTTCGTATCGTATTCCGCGTTCGAGTGAAACTCTAAGACCATGTGTCGTTCAAATGTAAAAATATTTGTAAACATATCACATGCTAAATTAGCACCAAATCATAGAAAAGTCTTAATTAAAACAACTGATGATAATCAGCAAAGAAGTGTTGGGTGTGTAACTTAAGTGACGATCGAAAATTTACCCTTCTCGTTGAATTTACTGAGTTTGAGGCTGTCGTTTTTCTTCTTGTGCGATCCATAATTGTTCGATGTGCATCGAAAAAATCCCGGATTGTGAATTGGTGGTGGAAGGGCTAACGTAAGGTTGCATCATTTGATTCACTGATTGAAACCAAAAAAAAATGTAACGACACATGTGTACGTCGAATATTTACGCGCTCAGTTAAGCAAAGGCGAGCTCGCATCTTGAAGCCAGTTGGTAAGGAATAGAATTGAGGTAAATCAAATGATGTTTGTCTTTACTGCTCTTTTCCATTTTTCTCGTAATACGTTCGTGTCTGTAATTTTTCTATGATAAATTATAGTTACGGTTTATCACTCACAATTATGTGTTACGCGAATATAATTTAATTCATACATCATAGAAAAAATATCGACCGGCACAGTGAAGATTGCATCTGATGAGTGTTTCTACTATGATTAAGCACCATTAAGTAGTTTCGATGTAGTCTAGAAAATAAAATGAAATATTTGTTTTGAACTTATAAAAAATAGATTTCAGTTTTGAAAAGAAGACAAATTATCAACTCTTCGACTCGACTCTGGAATCGAATTATTTTCAAATATACGATATTTTACCTAGTTACAATGCAAGCAATTCTAAAATAAGCATGGCACAAAATGGTGATGCTCACTGAATTAGGGAGTTTTTAATTTTTCGAGATCATGAATACCTTCTGTCAACGAAGAAAATGCTGCTCTGTTCTCATTTCCGCCTTCTTATCAATGACATTGAAAACAATTAAATGATTAGTTACCAACGCTTTGAACTCAAATTGACGTATCACTCTGACTGTTATTTGTTGATAAATATCATTCACAGAATATTCTGGGGATGGAGCTCGGCAATCTTAAACAGATCTTTAATTCAAGTTGATCTAATAATTTTTATAGAAATGATAATCGAACAAAAAGTATTTTTAAGATGTTAACGAACAACTATTTCATCATATTTTCCCATAACAATCGTTTTTTGTTTGGCAGTCGAATAAGAAAAAGATGTCTTCGACTTCTACAATTCAGTTGAAATTATATTAATTTTCTATTTTTTTCATTTAACGCGTTTCTCTCAGTTGTTCTTTTTGTTATATTTCGAAAATCCGATCGAACGTTATCTTCAAAAGAAGAGAAATTACTTTTTGAATATAAAATAATTTGATACCACTGACTTTGTTCAAGACATTCTGTAAATTCTATTATATCTCTTAATGGACAATATCTAATATTCAAGTGAGATCAACAAGTATTATATTGACGATGTTCACATGAAAGTTAACGTCGTTGTTGTAAAATAAGATTGCACAGTCGACAAATATACGATCTGTTGATAGTTTTTCTGTTTCTTACGTCAAAATCAAGCATAATTGAGCAACATTGTCAATGCAACTACGCAGTAACATAACCTCTGCTTTTTATTTGTACTCTTTTCAATCTTTTTGCATCAATAGAATTTCATGAAACAGTCTGTTCAATTGTTTCTTTCGTAGTGTAGACTAACGTAAGAAGAAATACAGTTGGAATAGGTAAAATAATTTACAATATTTCGCTCAATGTTTTGCCCGCAGTAATAATAAAAATAGTTAACCAATGGAAGAGGTCAGAGATCGACAACAATAGAAAAAGACCAGTGTGCATAAAATTTTCTCTAAGAAGATCTTCCAGTGTTTTAACGAGGGTGTCCAAGGACTGAGGATTAGGAATTCCTCATCAGTTGCTCTACAGTTACTTGCATACTAAAGGTAAAAATATGGAATATTCACGATAATTTTTGTTCTTACACTCATTTTCACTTGCAAAATTGTGAGAATCAATGATTTCATGCAGAAACTATTTTTAAAACAGCAATATCGCGACTCTCGTGAATGGAGGAGCTGTGAGAGAACCTATAGTTGATTTCCCTTTCTCCTAGGAATTATCACAGATACACTGACAATTCCTCGGCTCATTAGGAATTTCTATTTCTCAGTCCTTGGACACTACTGATTACAAACACTCAACTTCAATAACTTTAAAAACAACATGCAACAACCAAATAAGAGCAAGCTAGTAAAGAATCGTGTTGTCCTGTTTCGGTAGATTTTCATGACGAAGTCTTATTGTGTACAAGAAGAGTTATCTAACTAAAGAAAACACTTTTCTTTTTATTTAAGAAGAAATTTCACATTGCAAGATTTTATTTCGAAAATTTTTGAATTTTCACCAAGTTTAAACATGAATCACGCAACAATACTCCAGGAAAGTTTTAGTCTTTGCTTTTATGGGATTCGTGTTCATTCTTCTAGAGAATCAAATGCTGAATGTTTTGAAAAAAGTTTCAGCTCAGACTGTACCTCACTGTACATGCGATTCATCGGATAGCTATCATCTGATTATGAAAGATACCTACGTATGTCGACTATATATCGGTTTGTGTTGTTTTATAATGACTTAACATGTGCTACGTCGTTCACTTTTTTCATTTAAGGAAAAGTTTTTCTTCTCTCAACCATTACTAACCCTCTCCGTGCTATTAATTGTAGAAGCGTTATGTCTGCTTCACCGAATACCAGCATCGATTTTTTAACGTTGCTTTACAGGTAAAAATACTTTTTATCTAAATCAATTTGTATCGCTATTTTATCTTATTCTCAATTCTTTAGAAAAGTTGACTCGTACGTCGCATCGTATACGAGTACAACTCGGATATCATCTAGTTTTATACTATCTCTATCAGTAATTGTTATACTGAAGTATATCATGCGATTTCTGCATAGCTGTTCGAACTTGCCCATACGATGATATATGGTATAAATAGAAACGTATCTTACGGACAAAGTAACATCACAGTACTCAACATAACATAAATGCCAAATGTCTTGTCAACCTACTAAACAGATTGCTGAAAATGAAATAAAATGTCATCACCATGTAATTTATCATCTATTTTGGTAAAAGTCGAAAGAAATTATTGATGCTTTGAACATATATTTTAGTCATACTCTCGTGAATGATAAATGTCTATCATAGTATTATCTGAATGAATCAAAAACCATATATCAATCATTTAGCTAATAGTTATACATACGAAAATCTTCTTAAGTAACAACAGAGAATTCATAGTTACATAATTATATAATTTCAAAATTGAATAAAAATTCATATTTCAAGTAAGATATAAGAAAGTCTCGTTCAATATCCAACTGAAAACTAATATAAGCTTTGTTAAAGATGAGCATATAGATATACGTTTATAAATATAGATAGTTTGGACGAATGCCTAAATTCAATTCAATCATATAGGTGCTTCAGACAAAAACAAATGACAAAAATAACGTTGAAAATGCTGTGCATCATAGGTCTTTGTTCTATAAGCAATAAATCTATCAGGTCGAATAAGCATGATACCGTCATACTGAATTGGAGTTTTTTCTTCTTGAGCCTTATAAATTTTAATTATTTTCGAATATTCTTCCTTGATGAACTCAATAAATGTATTGACTGCTGTCGCTTGTTCTTTTTCAAAAATAACCAAATGATATTAACATGGCTCAAAAATAGTATATGGAAATCGATCACCAGGCTGCGGTGTATTTCCACGAAAGTTGCTAATCTATGCATCACGATCATGAGCAATTGTTGAACGATAAATAATTCCTAATTGGGAAGCTCGGCTAAATGCTACTAATCGGAATTTAGTCGGACGATTAAATAATGGTTGTAAGATGAATTTAAGTAGCAATGTACGACAAATGAACGAACGGATCGAATAACTGGATTACTACTTGGCAGAAGTGCAAAACCTCGATCAGTTGAATTTACGAGATTTTTTTGCTACAACCGAACGTTCGTCATGATATGTATTAAGAAGATGGGTACATGCATCTTATAGACCTGTATTCATTCATTGGCCACCCAGCAGCGAATGAATATGAGCTGCACCACCAAGTAAAAAATATCGTTTTCAACATCGAAATGTTGTTATATGTCGATAATGAGAACGATAAAGAGAAACCCAAGTACAATCATAAACATCTAAATCGATGAGCAAACTTCTTCGATAGTTAGTGTTCGATCATTATGGTTCCGCTCATGAGTTGTAATTACCAACAACGCGATATCGATCATTAATCATTGGAAATAAACATTGAAAATCGATTTTTTTTACCATCAAGCACATTGTCAATTTTACAATCAGCGACAAAAATTGTCTACTTCTATATCTAGAAGTAGTCAAGGCGCATTGAATGGTAGAGCTAATGGAATCTTTCGTGAAAAAAAATGTTTTGATCTTGATTTTACTCTTGTACGTTCTGACCAACAATATTTTATTTCGCAAAATATTCTTATATTCTTTCACTTGAACAATTAGCTACCGAAAGATGATTGGAATCATGTTTAAATGAACATCACGCGAAAGTAGAACGAGAAATTGAAGCAGCAGATATCGCTTTTTCAGCAATATTTAGTTGTCCTAATAATTCAAGTGAACGTGAATGAACAGCAATAGCACGTGACTGTGTAGTACAAGTTGAATTTTTGTCAATTATACGAAATGATATATTTGGATAAAGTGACAATTGACATCCTAGCATAAGACCAGTGGGTTTTGCACCGATAATAAGTATGTCTACTAGTGATGACGCCATTGCTTAGATCGGAAAAAAGTTCAATGTGTATCTAATAGTAAATCGAGAAGAAAACTTATTCATTTCAATATGATTAGACTGTTCTGGAATTACTTATACAATTATTTACCTAATAGAACTATAAAATGGTATTATTACTGTCAAACGGCAATTTGTTTTTTTCTTTCTGCTTCTGTTTTTTTCTTTCTTCTTCTGCTTTTTTCCATTGGTTATTAGTCATGAAGTCCTTTTAGAAAAGAAAATGGCATGTGCTATCCAATGATTGCTGCATGTCATAAGACCAAAAAGCATCACGCATAAATACAACGAAAAAACCATTCACCACCAAAATAAGCAATTCAATCGTTATTATTTGCGGTCTTTATTTACAGTCTCAGAATGCCAGCAACCTTAGGTCTGATACCTTCACAACAAGAATCATTTGAACATCATGAGGAATTAAGCAAATTATTAAATGAAACTGATGTTTTCTATGTACCATTTCAAAGTCATTTTCAACATAATCTAGACTTATCAGATTTAACAAAACGTTTTGATGAAGACATTTTAAGCAAACATTTAGTTGTTGTAAGTTTTTATTGAAATTTTATATAAAACAAAAAACAAATATTTATTATTTTTTTCTCAAGACATTTCGAGATATAGGTTATTCACTCTATCTTGATTCTGTTCAAAGTATACCGGATCAAAATGATGAAACAAAAGTAAAAAGAATTTTTTTTCAAATTACAATTTGCCTTTTTTCTTCTTCCGTTTAGACTCGTATTTCAGGAAAAATGATTGTTGATGGTATATGCATTCAATTTCTTGGTTGTTTTGATTGCAATAATAAAATTCCCAATCCTTCTGAAATACAACAAATAAATGGGGTGGGCAAAGTTCAATTGGACGAAGACTATTATAAAGAACTATCAACAACACAAGTAAATTAAAGAGAATAATTTCAAAAGTTGTTTTGATTTTTGTAAAAAACATTTTACGCTTTTAGGTTTACACCGATGAAAAGTATGTTCCGAAAGAAAACGAAAGAGAATGTATGTTTATTAATTTCTGTTTGCAGAAGTATCGAATCAATGGGTCATATCGAGACAATGGGTTCAACAGAACGATCAATAATTAAAACAAAAACACGTTCTAGAACAATTAGTGAAAATATTTTGGGAAAAAATCATAATAATAATAATTTAAAAAGTCCACCATCATCGCTTTCAAATTCACGTTCTCATATGCATTCGCCAAGTCGCATGCCATATACAAGACGATCACCTCGTACAATAAATCATCCGAGTAAAGCTCAATATCAGGCATCGTCCCCGATTAATATTGAGAGTCCATCAGTATCAAGAAGCTCAGGTACGATTTATGATTATTAATTTTTGCTTTCTCAATTGGACTTCGATCAAACCGAACACGAGACAGCAACGTGCTTTTAAGTTTACCTGTAAAATTTCTATTCATAGAAATATCGATACAATATTTATTTTGCCCTTAAAATAAAGTAAAGAAATATTTTATTCTAGGTTTTCATTCATCTGTTATATCTCCATCGTCAAGTGTAACGAGCTCGTTCAATGAAAATCCTCTTGACATGTATCAACAACATCATGTACCGTTATTTTATCCCTCGAATAATATTTCGTCGAGTCTTAATAATCCAACAACAATACCTATACAAATACCATCGTCAAATAAAACTATTCCACCAGCATCATTCTCACATTTGTCCGGTATTTTCCCTACAATTCAATCGCATTCATTACCAAATTATTTTCTTCCTCAAGCAAATTTTGCTTATTTAATTGCAAATTCAAATCAAAATCCAACACCCCCATTTCATATAATAACTCCTCTAAATCATCCTTCATTACAATATCCTAATGCACATTTTTCAACATTATCACATAGTCAAGCAAATTCAATAAATGAAAATTTAACTTCATTACATATTAAACGACCCGATAATGAAGAACATAAACAAGCCCAAGTCATGGATACGAATAAACAATCTGAAGAGCAATTACCATTTAAAAAACGACGCTATACAGGTCAATCATCATCAGTCTATTCACCTATGGATACTAATCACGACGATGATGATGCATCGGATGAATCGATGAAAAAATAATTTTCTTCATACTCATACATATTTATATATATACATATATATATAAATGTTTCTGTGTAATTTGTAGCTATTTAAATTATTATAGTTTTTCATTTTGGATATAATCTATATTTTTGTCTGTCGTGTTTACATTTACTTTTCTATAAGGAACGTGATGAATCTTGTGTCAATTAAGATTGTAAAATCATCAGACCGATTTTCAATCAAATCAAAAACGCATTGAAAACATTACTGTGAAATAAAATATCTATTAGATGTATAAAAAAAAACTAAATATTGTATTATGTTTTTATTTCTTTTCCGAATCGTATGCATCATCCGACCTTTAGTCTGTATTGATTCATGAAAATATCCTATAGACAAACAAAAAAGTAGAACGTGACAATATTTACTGCATTTAGATAAAATATTGCCGCATTCTATGTCGTTTTTCATTTATTATATATTAACAGATTGTCACGAGTACTCATAAAACATTTTTTTTCTAGTTTAGCTGTGATTACATGTTGCCATAGAATGTGTTCTCTATGTGATGTAAATGAGACATCAATATAATTCAATCTATAATCTTTAGCGATATGTAAAATTAAAGTAACAAAAAAAAATAAATGTCATTGAATTAGTGATAGAAATTAAAAATACTGTCGAAGAGAGGTGCAACTTCTAAGAGTTTCTGAACGCCTTCTAATATCATTTATATAAGAAATCAAATCTTGCTTCAGCGAAACTCCTCTGTTTATGGAACCGTTGAGTCCCCGTCTATCTATATTTAGATTGGCTAAAACGATCACGCAGCTGTACAGCTGTTTATCCCATAGGAAAATACTCATCACGTTTAATTAATTTCTCAAATGTAGCCAAGCAAAACTATTTATAGAGAAATTTCTTGCCATCAAATATAAAATCTATTATAATAAGTCGAACGGTCATCAAGTTTTGTGAAGATACTTTCATCAGTTTGATAATTTTATTGCAGTATGGATCGAAAATTAAATAATTTTGAAAGTATGAAAACTGCTGGCTATATGCCTAATTGATTCGTCTCAACACTAATTAATTTATCAATTCGAATACCTAAGCTGAATGGCATGCCAAAGATGTAGAATGTTTCAGAGAAAAAAAAGCTATTTTCTTATAGTATTTCATAATTCGAAAATATTTTCATCACAGCATTGTTTTGATCCTATGCGACGCTCTACAAGCGTTCATCAAAACCATCATATGACGAATGATCTAACCGAACTATTTATTGATAGCTCTTACCCTTATTATGTTGCTCTTAACAGATCGGATAATAAGTCTTGGTATGAGATCGGACATGTTTGGAGTCAATTTCTTCTATCATAAGTCTAATCTAGATCCAATTACACTGTGACGAATTTCAGATCCTACATTGTAAATTATGCCGGGAAATATTTTTCTCTCTTCATATGAAGAAAATTTTTTGTTGACTCAAGTATCAAAGTTGGATGTGCTCTTTAATCATAGACTGATTATTCTCTACTAATGTGCTAATCAATTATGAACATCTGACACGTTTCTCTAGTGATATCATCCAGCTAAGAGTTACGTATATATACACATCCTCTGTTCTGTATATTAGTTTATAATCTGTGAAAGTAGATCAGCATGTTCAATATATCATTAGAGCTTTTTCCTCCTCGAAATGCTACTACTGATCCATCTAAAGCAACAATCTGTATAAATTTAGCTTCTACGATAAGTACATACGTAGCATAGAGAAAGGAGAACGGAAAGATTATCTTATTCTTTTCGTTACGTACTGAGAATATTTTGTGTGTTATATTGTAAATAAATCTATAATAGGAAAGCAAACTGTGTGTAGGTGGAGTTTGAGAGGGAAAAAATCTTTCTTCGTACTGACAGATTCAGTACGATATATCATACATAGCTTTGATGAAGCATTGGTAGAGAACTTTTTATTTTGCTGTTGCTGCGTTTTTCCTATTTGCACAGATAACTTGTTCTTGTTCTGTACGATTCATCCTCATTTTGTTACCATACATAGACTATTATGGAATCTATAAGAGTCGTATATATTAGTGTATAAGCGAATAATCTGGTATAGCCGAAAAACAACATACACGTATAGACAATGACGACACCCCACTTTTGTGATCGTTGTGGATCATGTGGCAAAAGTTTTGGTCGAACAGAACCACGCACAATATTTAATAATAAAACTTATCATCAAAATTGTCTTAAATGTGCGAAATGTCGAAGTCCATTAACTGGAAATTTCTATCCAACATTAGAAGGTTTCACATGTGAACAATGTCATAAACGTATATCAACACGTTGTAAACGGTGCGGAAATTCAATTGACGCAGGTATAAGATACAAATTATATAAAGGACAAGAATATCATCCGGAATGCTTCTGTTGTTGGTCGTGCAATACACAAATAACTGAAGGCGAACAATTTTTTGAATTACGAGGTTATCCACAATGGTAAGCGTAGAATTTCGATTTTGTTTTTTTCTCTAAACTAACTTTTTCTTTTTTTTAATAGTATAAAGTGTCATGATGAAGGTAAACAAGAATTTTCTGATTACAAAGCAGTTCAAGTTCATCAATGTGCTAAATGTCAAAAACCAATTGAAAAAACACAAACATTTTCATATTACGAAGAAAAACCTTATCATAATGAATGTTTTACCTGTAATCGTTGTGGACTTAGTTTAGTCGATAAGCCATGTGTTCGTCTTGGTTCAGCTATTGTTTGTCCCAGTTGCAATTGAGAAATTTTATTTTTCTGCTAAATGAAAGCATTTCAAATTATACTCAAACCCATAATTATGTATTCCCCTTTTAATTTAATTTTAATATAAAATCAAGATAAAACCTGATGAACGAAGTCTGCCATTGAAGTAATTATTCTTTGTTCTTCTTGTAGATTCGAATGGATTATCAATGTTTTGAGCAAAATCATTTCTGATTAGACTTTCACGTGTTGGTTTTTGCTCAATTTTAGGATTCTTTTAGAAAAATAGTCTTCGCAAATATATTCGTAACTTTCATAACAAGCTTTTCCTATTACGTTCTGTCTCTATGCAAATTTTCAAAAACTTGAAATTCTGTTTTCTACTCACGCGAACCACACTGATCAGTAAAAATACCACTGCAAGCAATATCTTAATAGCAATAAATCCTGACAGTCTTTTTCTTAAGAGATGCGTTCCTGATAAAAGCACATCTATTGAAAGAAATTAGAAAGCACTATGTGTACGTAAAGAAGCCTAGATTTTAATTGTTCTTATACCAAAAAAACGAGCGACTGAACTCTGTCATCAGTAAATCACGACATGTTTTGTCGATGAATTCGAATTTCTAAAAACCATTTTTCACATAGCTAGGAAATGTAAGATTAACAGTTTATAGACCATTCGAAATTGTTGTGTATCACTGCCGTCTTCGAATGCTCATTCATCTATATGGAGTAGTACGATCTTTCATTTCCTATCAATAGTATTATTCAATTCTGATTAATCGTCTTTTTATTTCTGTATTTGTTTTTGTTTGAGAAGTAAAACTATGTTAAATGAGAAAGTAGCAAATCTCCCCAGTCCGAAATAAAAGACACAAAACAGCAAAAAGAAAAAGACGTACTGAAGTCAATAATACTTTCAGAAATGTATGCAGAAGAACAAAAATAACAATAAACAAACGACAACGACGACGACGACGACGAAAAAAGAAAAGATTTGTTTCGGGCTTTTTTCAATTATACACGAAAGAAAACAAAAAAAATGAGTCCGTTACACTGACACAAACAGATAAAAACAAAACAACGAGAGAAAAATATTTCACTTAATTATAACTTGGCCAATACAATTGTTGTCCAGTTGTTTGTGTGCCACCAGCGATGGATGGCGGTGTTGATACAAGAGCTGATGGTTCAAATAAAGCACCCGATACTTCATAAACAGTTTGAGGTGATGCTGTACCGGGATTTAATGTTGCTGAAACATTGTTATTCGATGTTGTTGATGCTAAATTAGCAAGATTAAATTGTGAAAATAAATTCGATGGCCATGTCGTTCCTGCTGCACCATTTGTTGATGTTAAATAAATTGGCTGTTGAAGTGTTGATTGTTGCGCTAATGGATAATAGATCACATTTGACCTAAAAAAAACAACGAAATTGAATAAATTTTGTTTCCAGAAATTTCTTTTCTTTTTTTGTCCTCTAATAAAATTTGTAGTAAAACTAAAAGAAAAATAGATCATCGAAGTCAAACCAAACACAAGCGAGAGCCAAAAACAACAAACAAACAAACAAAATACACACCGGGTCATAAAAAAAACAGAGCTTTTTCCATGATCATTTCAATTTTTTTCATCTATTGTTTTTAGGGATAAGAGAATTAGACGTAAATCGTTACACTCAGTTGAATTTTATAGATATACATTTATATACACACGGCAAACAAAATGCAAACGGGCAAAACAAAATGAAACACGGTCAGAGCACGCGAAAAACACTCATAAGCACCTTTTTTCAGTTAATTCACTTTGCTGTTCATCCGTTGGCAGCACTTTGCATTAGCCTATAGAGACATAGAGACAGACAGGAAAAAAAGAATGCCGCTATTCATTGTTCTATTGATTTCTTTTCAAACTTCAAGAAGTAAAAAAAAAGAAGAAAAAAGGTGGCAATTGTTTATCTAACTTTCATTTCTCTCGTCTATTGTACATACATTAGCTTCTATTCATGTAAATGCCATCGGCATAAAATGCTTTCCCCTCTCTACTTTAATTTCGTTTCAATCAAAAAGACAAGGACGAATCGAAACCTCTTTTAATCATAGTTATAATTGAGTTTAAAAACAAACAAATGGCTTCATTCTCAACAAGACAAAAAAATCTCATTAATAAAAGAGTGTCCCAGTAAAAATAAAATAAAATTACATACGGATAAGCTGTAGCTGTTGATTGATATGTTGGCATTCGTGCAAGAACACTATAACCGACTAAAAAGACACAATCATACCTTAGAAATTCAAATCAGTTCTTTCTTTTTTTAAGAATCATCATACGTGGTAATGTTGTTGTACGATTTTTTGCACCCATATAAGCTAAATTAACATTGGCTCGACGGCCATCAATCGTAGGATTTGGATCTTTAACAGCCTCTTCGGCATCCTCTTTACGTACCATTGTTACCTGAATATATGTTCATATCAAAAATCTATTCATTAATTTAGAACAAATACTAACAAATCCATATCCACGAGATTTCCCTGTGCTACGATCATTGATAACAACAGCTTCTTCGATGTCACCAAATTTAAGAAAAAATGCTCTTAATGTTTCATCAGTTGTATGATAAGGTAAACCTAAAAAGAATATTTAATAGGTTCAACAACAACAAAAATAGACATAATAATTTTTTTCTTTAAAATTCTATTTACCTCCGACAAATATTTTTGTAAATGTCGTATCTTTTTGTAGATTGGCTTGCATTAATGGATAATAATTTGGTGAATGAGATTTAATCGATGCAAATCGTGGTTGATAACGTTGACGATTAGTCGAATTTAATATTGGCGATGATGGTGTTGGTATTGTATGTAACCAAGAATGATAATAATTTGAATTATCGTCACTATTCGGAGTGACTTTTGTTAATGTTGATCTACAGAAGAAGAAACGAAAAACTTTTGTCTCGTATGTGTGATGTAAGTTTCGTGTTTGTTTAATGATAAGGAAGAGTTGTGAAAGATTGTTTATGTTAAAAATGAAATGAAACGACTAAAAAAAAGTTCTCTCTCCCCTTCTCTCTCTCTCTCTCAGTGAGAAACCTTTCATTTTTTCCTTTCTATTTCAAACAAATGAACCAATCAAATCAATAGAAAAATTCTTAAAACAAAATAAGTATGCTTACGTTGATGGTCGAATCCATGAACTGTTATTAGTATTATTATTATTTGTCATAGGTGGTGATGGAGGAAAATATGAAGAATGTTGATGCCATTCATTTCGAGGCGAATGCAGTAAACGGTTATAATGTTCCATGATTGAAATGAATACGATTAACGTTATGTTATGTATTTACGCTCTGTGTTCAAAAAAGAACGAAAACAAATCATTTGATATAGATAGATAGATAGATATAGATACATAGATAGAAGTAGACGAAGGAAAAAAATATATATAAATAGATACACGCTTTTTCGCCGTCGGATTCAAACGGGATATAGACAGTAGAAATAGAGATAATGTATATTCTAAATAAAGAAAATTTTTGATTTCTGTTCTTTCTCCTATTTTAAACACGTGATTGAGTCGAATTAGTTATTACGGAGCTGAGAGATAATGAATATCATGATTGCTTAAATAAATATCAGTTTGAAAATTAGGTAAAGACTCTGATTTATAATAAAAAAAAGCAACTGCACATGGAGATTTACAAGAAGTGTTACCAAAGATAAAAAATGACTCATATCATTTATATGCAGGAGTATATCTGAGAAAAGGTACGTCGGCCGTGATTGTTATGACTTCTGAATGGTTGATCTCTCTATTGATCTAAATAAAAGTGTTGATTTAGAAGTTTTACGAAAATTATTATCACTTTCGAACAGACTTAGATATAGTTGATCGAATCATTTTCTGTATCAAGTTTAATTAATAAATTTGACATAGGATTACTGAGACATTACTTTCCGAATTCGAAAATTTCACATATTCGTTCATTTGTTCGTACATAGCCATTATCTGATTGGACATAGACTATGATAATTCATTTGTCTGGCTAAATTTTTATACAGATTTCCAAGCTTGTGCGCTCTTCTATCTCTGGAGTAGTTAAATCAATGAAACTGTTTTCAAGGACATATTTTACAAGTGAAAAATATGATACACTTCATTATTATAAATATCTTGACTAATAATACGAAATACTTTTTGACTATTCAAAAAAGAAAAATACGCCTTCGAATTTCTTTTCATAGAAAATAACATAAAATACTTCAGTATTATCGAAAAAGCACTTATATGCTTGTTGAGATCTACTTGCCCTGAGACGAATCTCGAGAACAAGCCTAAAGTAACGCCTTTAAACAGACTCTTTCTTTATTTCAGCATTGGATTTGTTCATCAACAATTAACACTAAGATGCGAACATATAAACTATGAAGTTCATTCATTCATTTCGTACACACTAAAGTCATTTGATTAAATTCTTCAAGCTCATTTTGACTATCAAATGAAACAATTGACGTTGTTGGTTTTACCAGTGGATATTGATCTAAGAATGGTACAGATATTTTAAGTATTTCAACATTATTATGTTGTTCGTCGAGGCTATTATTTATCGAATCAGATATTTGATGAAGTTTAACTAACAATGGAAATTTTATATCGTTATTCGATTTCATTCGTGGAATATTAGCAGATAATTCTGTTGGCGGTGATTGCCCATTTAAATTTCGTTGTCGAGTAGAAAATCGTTGGAGAAGTTGTTGTTTTTTCCATAGCCATGATGGTATTTTTATTAATTGTTTTGATGAAATGTCATTTGATGACATGTGATACAATGATTGTTCATCAATATAATCGAGTGCATGATAAGGTGCTTGATTCCATAAAGACGTTTTTAATTGTTGTTGATTTGAATGTTGAATTGTAAGACGAACATCATGATGGATCATCAGAGAATTTCGTTTTTCATTTATACGAAATGATGATGAAGATTTTTTCAAGATGAAGCAGATTATAAGAGTTAATATAAGAGCTAGTAAAATCAAACATCCAATAAGAATTAATCTATTTAGAAGAAGAAAAACGATGATACTTGGAAAGTTAAAGTCGAGTTATTTCTTACATTGTGATAAAATAAAATGAATTATTTTTTGATACATGCAATATCATTTCAAATTCTAATTTTTCATTTTCATCATCTCCAATACACATATATTTACCTTTTAGAAATAGAAAGACAATGGAATTTTATTTTTCTAAATTTATTTATCCAACCTTGCATTTGTTCAGTAATATTACTTAATAGAATAGTTCGATTATTTGATATTTGATATCTTGGCTGATATCTTTGATAGTACCATACATATTTTAAAAATTCTTTAGAACCATCGATAGGACCTAAGTATGAATAGGCTTGAAAAATTTTAATTTTTGATTTAGAAAACCATTTTCGTAAATGGTAAAATTGGTCTTAGATATTTTGGCTATATTTTCAGTTGAAAAATATGCTTTTCTTTGATTAGGTGTTTATTGTAGGTCGTCTATCTTACAATTCTCCAAGGAGCTACTTTGTATCTATTTGCAAGAAAGAATTAAATGGCTATTTTTGGTTTCTCCAGATGAAAATTAGAACAATGGGAGCCAAAAAAGAGCACTGCAATGTAATTTTTTCTTTTGAATAAAAATAGAAGCTACTCTATAGACTGATGATCCATAGGGAATTTCATATTAATCTGACATTTTCCAGTATTACTTCAACATTGACTAGAAATTTTATGCAATGGGAGCAGATTTTGTTTTGGTGAGAACCTTCAGTATCGAATTTATACAAGTTCATTACCAGCCTACTACTGGTTTTATTTAAATGGGAGTCAGATCGGCCATTCGAATTTCAGTTTTTCGTATTTCTATCGGACATATTCTCCCGAAAATAACTCACGAGTTATTCATCTTCTAAACCTAAAATAGAATTTTTTTATGGCCTAGGTTACAAATATTTAAATTGCGGAAAAAAAATCTTTACATTGTATTTGAATAGATTTTCCTTGTCCGATAACAATATTTCGAACATGAATAATATCATTGGTAAAAAACATTTCACGATACGGAATAACTTTAGTTTGGCATGTTCCTAACGTTTGAATATCTTTTCTCCATGGATTAGAAAATAAATATAAATCAATTGTTGTCAATACTTCATGAGTTTGTATCAAGGAAATATTATTTATATACATTATATTTTCGAATACATATTCACATGTTTTACTTGAAGATTTAATTTTTAGTATTTGTTTATGTGTTGAAAATTCTTTTCGATAAAATTGTATACTTTTTTCATAGACATTTTCTTCGAATAAATAAGCGCGACAATCATAAATAACTATTTGTGCTGAAATTTCAATATTTAATCGAGGATGAAGATAAATTTTGTCTGTACATGTTAAAAATTTATTCAATGAAAATATTGCGAAACGTGTTTGTATTGAACATATGATTGAATGGTTATAAGTATTGATGTATGTCAATGAAAGAAAAACATGTGAAAATAATGAGGATGTTACATTTAATAAAATCGTATCACTTCCATATTCAACAATAATAGGACAAATATTTATAAGACAAATATAAGATGAATCTTCAATTTCGAAATTCTTTAAAAAAATCTTTATCCGTTGAATCGTACGATTACCAAAAACGAATTGTTCATCTATGAGTTGAATATCAACTTGATATGCAGATTGACAATGAATACAATCACGAGGTATTAATGGAATTTTTATTTGAGACATATCATTTAAAAATAGATAGTTTATATCATTTGATTGTTGAAAACAATTTTTATCTCCATTGGTTAATTTCAATAGAAATAAAAGATAACAAATAAGCATGTTACAATGCTGCTAAAAGATTTCTCTTTTCTCTTTTCATTAGCTGTTCTGCTTCTGTTTTGTTTATTCTCGTTTCGATAAATAAAATCATGAATACAAACACACACACACATACGCATGGCTGTAAAAGGCTCATTAGATATAAAAAGAAAAGGAGTTGAAGTTTTTATTTTTAATTTTGATTCGTAAAAGATAGTCGATCACTCATAATACCATCTGTTGAAAGTTGAGCTGTACGTCCTGGAATATGAAAATCGATGTCAACAAAATGCGGGTTGTCAATAGTTGCCGTCGTATTTCTGATAGGTGAACTTGATCGTACAGCACTTGGCCGAACTGTTGCTTGATGATGAGTAATATTACTACCATAGCCTATTGATATATTTATGTCAATAGCAATGGTTCGTGGTTTAGAAGTTGCTACACGACGAGTTCTATGTTGAACTGGACTGGAAACTCGAGTTCTTTGCTCAGCATTTAAGTAGCGATTATTATTATCAGCGGTATCGTTTTGCTGTTGAATTTGTACGTCACCGATTTGTTGAGAACGTAGACTTATCCGTTTCTCTTCCATTGTATAATTCGCTTGTTTGACCTCAGATTGAATGCCACTACTTCGTAATTCTTTGGGTGTGTCGTAAATACTATGACTAGAATGATTACTAGCTTTTTGACTAGGTGAGACATCATCTGTATTTTGGTCATCTGATGTACTAGTTCCTAGTGGTTTCGATCTCAACAGTGATCTGCTTAAACTTGATCTTTTCTCAGGCTGATCATCGAAATCTGAGTGTAAAAAAAATTAAAATTAATCTGTGGTTTTTTCTTACAGGTTATCACATTACTTTCTGATGAATAATCCATAGTTAGCCTTAATAGAATATAATTGTTTTTGCTGTTGTATACGTGTGACAAATAATGTTACCGGGACAGAATTACGAAAAGAAAAAAAATGTCAATATATGAAAGAAAAAAAGAGTCTTTTTCAAAACTATAAGCAAACATCAACAACAATACAAATAATACGAATCTCCCTCCCTCTCTCTCTCTCTCCCTCTGTGTGTTATTTTATCTCAGAAAAATGTAAGAAATAAGTTAGATAAGATGAAATTCATGGCTATCACAGCAGTATGAGTTCGCACTACAATCTTCCTATGACGATATTGTTCGCGTTTATTATGATAGGTTTCACCTATTTTACCTTTTTTGTTAATTTCAAAATAGACTGATATTATGAGAAAAATTTACTCTCAGGTAAAATATGCGCATAATAAAAACTTACCTAGACAAGATGATAAGGGTAGGTAGTAGATATCTTTTCAATTTTTGCTTTGTGTAAAATAGTTTTACGAAATTAAAAATAAAATAAAGACTTCTGTGTTATATCGTGCCTGATGTTTTATTGCATAGTTGAAATTTTTATAAGATTCTTTGTTGCTTTTGCTTTATCAGTTGTTGTAAAATCTGGTGGTTTTTTAATAGGATTTATAAGTAAATCGATAAACGGTAGAAAATCGAGATGATTTTATTCGCTATAGGCAGAAACGTTGATAAAACAATATAATTTTTCATAAATATCAGACTGTTCTCAAAAAAAAAATGATAATATTTTGTGGCTTTGGCGGTGCATTGTCTTTGCAAAAAGACGAAATTAGACATGATTGAAGCAATTAGTTTAATTCTTATTAATATCATTTCGTGTGCGATGAGTTTTGTTTCAAGTTCAGTAACCAAAAGAAAATAATAATATGTATAGTGGCTATGTTTAGCCATCCATTTACTTGATGCTTATTTTTTTAAAAACAGCAGGCTGCATTTTGAATATCGTTGATTGTTAATTTTAGCCGCACAATAATTCTGAACTTTATCGTTAATATAATCAAACTTCAACGAGAGAAATGCATTCCAAGCAGACAACAGTGATATGTCATGATATCTTTTTCTTTTTGAAAATATTCTGCAGATTGACTTGATTCTCTGTTTCTATCATCGTAAACATATCATTTATTAAACAAAGTCATCGTTCTTCATACTTATACATTCATCGCAGCGCCTGTCAGGATTCCAGCGAAAAACATCATTTGCAAAAGACGCCCCCTCGGGATTTATCAGGACACTGCGATGTATGTACTTCTGTCAATATGTCATATTTTAAGCTTAATCTTCTTCATCGAGATGATCTGAAGTATAATTGTATAATTCTGTATTATAATAATCGTCTTATTTTTTTTTCTTCTTTCTTTCTCTCGAAATATCTCTATATGGAGATTTAAACTTGAAAAAAGTTCATATAAGATAGTATTGAACATTATTTGTATTCCATCAGCTTATTGTTTTAGAACATAAAAATAAAGAGTAAAACGAACTGTTGTTTATGTTTATGTTTATGAATAGAATTTGTTCGGCTTATTGTTGTGCGCAGCTTTGTCGTTTGCTATTCGTTCGTTGTTCTTTATGAGCCGATACATTCGGATCCGATAAACGACGTGTTATATCAGAACTATTCGTTATATTAATATTAGACAAATGCAGAAGACGATGAAATGCATTAAGTACAGATTCACGTTCATGGCATGTTGTTTCAATATGATCTAATGCCCATTGATCACGTACAATAGTGTTAGCATGGTCTAGAGTTACTTCTCGTTGACTAATATCAATATCACATTTATTTCCAATAATAACCATTGGCTTTGCAGTTGCCGATGCTAAATCAGGTTTAACTTCAAGAACAAGTTCATGCATCTTTTGTGCAATAGTAAATGAATACATGTCATTAACAGCATAAACTATAAGAAACGCATCGCCGCGTGTAATAGCAAGACGTCTCATAACAGGAAATTCATCAATACCCGCTGTATCTAATATTTCCAGTACTATATGCCGATCAGCAATTGCAATGTCTACGCTATACATTTCATCTACGGTTTCTTTATGATCGGTTACGAATTTTTCTTGTAAAAATTGTTGACATAAACATGTTTTACCTATAGGAAAAGAAAAGAATTTGAGTTTTCTCGTTTATAATAATGTGTCTATGATGTTGAATAACAATACGATAAATATACGCTTTGGAAGGAAATAGTTTGCATTAAATAGAAGTGCAAATTTTCTTCTCAAAAACAAAAAGAAAAAGATTACTAACCAACTTTCGTAGCGCCCAATACAACAATTCGAAGTTTTTCTTCCTGATTATCGTGATCAATTGTTGCAGCTCGTTTTGAATGTAAATTATGTCGTTGATTGTGACCAGTTGCATAATTACGGCGAGCAGTTGAATTCGTTGACACACGAGAGCGATCATCAGTAACTTTTAATGAACCTAATTCATCAGATAGACCCGATGTCATTGAAGTAAAGGATCTGAATCCTTAGCTAAGTTACATACGATAGAAATGATTGTTAATGAGAGTATCAAAAACTCATAAACGTCCTAATAGGATGTGCGTGTTCAATCAATATGAACTGTCATTTTCAAAGAAAAAGCGCATGACAATAAGACGAAATCTATATAAAAAGCAATAGATAGAAGACGCCAATACAAGAGAAAAAGCAGCTGTGCAAAAACAAAGTCTCTCTATATTTTGTTCTCTTTCTTTCCGCTTTCTCTCGCTCTATCTGCTTGGTATGCTGCAAATTTTTTTCTTCGTCTGTCTCTCATCGTTTCTATTTTTGAGACATGCATTAGACTTACAATTGGCACGTTCAATTTCGTCTTATCTTTTCTGCCTCTCTCTCTCTCTCTCTCTCTCTCATTTATAAATATATCACGTCAATTCTTATGCACATACCTCTTAATTCAATAAACACTTATTACATTCTCTTAGTTACTGAATTTCCTTAAAAATAATACCGGAGACAACATGAAAAAAATATGAAAAAAGAAAACGGTCTTTTTCTCTTTTTCTCCTTTTTCTTTACAATTAACTTAACTCGCATGATGATGAAAAGATTATTCTAGTCAATTCATTTGGGATTCATCTTCTTCTTCTTGAAGAAACATTTCAATAGCAAATGCCGAGCACGATTAGATAATTGTCTCGAGTCTCTAACTCAAAAACCTACTATAAAATAAAACAAAATATAAATATATTTATGCTAAAACATTTAGCTAGCTCAAAAGAAAATGCATAGAATCATTATGCAGCAATTGTAAAGATTTTTCTAAGTTTCTTTTCATGTCTTTCTCAATTTTCTAATTGTATCTATTCATTTAATTTCTTATCCACTTTGACATAGCCCAAAAAAGAGTGGCATATAAGTATGATAATTATCTATTTATTAATTATAAAGGAAAGAAAGAAAGAAAGAAGAAGATTTCCCTTAATGATATTCTCGTAGTTCTTCATGCATATTTGAATAAGATCTAATATTTTGTTTTTCTTATTTATTTACAAGAACAATAATTTCGATAGTTTTCTATTTAAGACAGTTTAAGACAATTAACATAAATGAAACAGAATATATATAAATTCTCGATTCTCTTATGTCAATAGTTCAATGCGCAATAAATTATCATTTATTAGCGGGAAAAATACGCACGAATAATTTTCTTTTTCTACTCATGTTTCAGATTAACTAATTATTATTTGAACATGAATAACAAACGCTTTTGTTTTCCGATGATTAAAACTAGAGAGATTGAATTTCTCCGTTGTTATTTTTGTTTCATACGTAGTCTTTACAGAACTCTTGTCACTTCATTTCCTCTTCATTGCTATCTATTCATTAAAGTGGCGAAAAAATAATTTCATTAACGAAGAAATGCTTCTGTCACTGACATGTAGCTTTCTCAAATCCCAAAACAAAAGAAAATGAAAGTCATTTTTTTCCTCCGCATGATATTTCTTAAACAAATCAGATTTCTTGAAAATACTTCAACCTATTCACAAGTCTTTATTGTAATGTATAACGAGTAAAAGAGAAAAGTTTCTCAGCTTAGTTATGAACAAAAACCTGACCGGTTTTATGTTTTGGAAAAGAAATTTCGTTCATATTGATTATAGACAAACAATAGTAACAATAATTGATTTGCTTGTTGTAAATCGGAAGCGTTGTCTTATATTCTATATGATGCACTGGAATCTATTTTCATCGTGGATATGTGATTAGTTATTCGATATATATGTATGTAGTTAGGAAATTGATATGAGCAAAATTGTTTTTTGTTTCATCAGGAAATTGAACCTATCTTCTCGTATGACTAGACATGTTTTTGAGAATCTTTTTATTTTTGATATATCGGCATGTTGTCGTTTTAGACATTTCAACATTAAAAATAAACTATTAATAGATAGTACATGGATTAGTTTTATTATTAAACATGAGTATTTTTTACTGTTGCGCTCGATTTTAGACATCGATTTACTCTTTCTTAAAATGGTGATCTTTCCTCTGGATCTTGTTCAAGAATATTCTTCTCGTCATCATCATCGGCTACTGATAATGAATCATCTGAATCTGGACTGGATTTTTCTTCATTTGATTGATTTTCATCCGAGGAATCTATCGATTCCTGATCATCATCCATTACGCTTGAATCAACAATGAATGGTAGAATGAGAATTAATAGAATCGATCCAACAATAAAACCGATTACAATTAATACGATGCATATAGAAAAAAATTCTTTCATAATATTATTTTGTTCTCTAATAAAATTCTATACAAGAATAACAATGATAAATTATTTATAGATACATCAGTGAAAAATAATCTACCTTATCAATAGCACATAGAGAACTTGGCAAAAACCATAAAAAAAGAATGTGGTTATTCAAGTACAACATTATTTTGTTCTTAGTTGCGAAGTGCATTTTCTATTGCGCATTGGTTTTTCACTGCCAATGCAAAAGCAAAAATTCTATATAGTAGTTTCTATTCTAATCTTTGTTGTCAAGAAGATATTAGACATCAAATAAATTAGAGATAAATAAATGATTGGAAATTGGAAATTTTCCGAAATAGATTTTTTTAATGATCGTACAAAATTGTATTAGCAACAGTGACATTTACAGAATTGTCTAGGCGAAGAATGGATTAGTGGCAATACAGTTTATTCAATTGAGCGGTGAGTTTTCAATATTTGGAAGAAATTTGATAGGCGGTAAGATAAATCCCCGAAATAGATTGTTTTTTTTCTGCCTCAGGCCACATCTTATCAGTTCAACATAATCTGATTAGGTCTATTATCAGAGTTACCAAATACAAATTTTTAGAAATCAGGGAATTTTTTCCCTAAATCAGGAGAAAAATCAGGAGTGTTTTTTTTGACATTCAACAGTCATTCGATGATTTTTATCTGATAACTTCCGATTTTTCACTAATAGATGCATTAACTTCTTTTTCTATAGTGGGATTGATGCTGAGAATTTTCCTTGTAGACGAATTAAAATTGAAAATAGAATGCTGATCTCATAAAGTTTATTTAAATAGATAATTAAAACGTGTTCATTAGAATACATAGTAAAAACTACTTAGCCAATTTACTCAGCAATTCGTGACACTGCGGCGTAACTCTACTTAAACCTAACAATCGAATATATGTTTCGAAAGATCAGGTTCATTTCAAAGATAATCATGGAGTTCTGGTCAAGTAAAATAGACAGTGTTGCCAGATCCCCGCATCTTCTGGAAAAATTCCAGGTTTCGAAAGTTTTTCCGAATTTTCAAAGCTTTTCTCGATTTTTTTTCTAGATTTCGAAAAACAAATTCCGGAATTTTTTGGATTTTCGAGGTTGACATCAGACAGTCTTCTTGGAAGTGCACTTTCTTATTTAAATATATGTTGTAGATATGTATAAAGAGTATTTTTGTTTCGAATCCGTTAGAGTAAAACGTACTTGAAATGAAAAAACGGATCCAAAAAACTTTTCCGCATTTTTTCAACATTTGAAAAAAGCTCCGCAAGTTTCCAAACTTTCAAGTTTGACATCTGGCAACACTCAAAATGAGTGTTCGTTTTAATCTTCAACTCAGCTCCAACTAAATCAAGGCTCATTTGATTTCGACTATCATTCCATATATTTTAAGCGTAACATTTCCATAAATTTCTTCTTTTCTCTTCGAAATCGGTATAGGTTCGAAACGAAGCTAATCGTCACATTACAAAAATCAGGAGATTTGGTAACCCTGTCTATCATGTCAATTTAACTCATTCTATCTTCACATCCGTTTCGTAACTTTTAATTTTTCATGGTTGTTACATATATAGACTTGAAAGACGAGAATACTTGGTTAAACAATTAATCTCAAGCTTTAGTACATGTTGAGATAAGTCGGAATGTTAAACATAGTTAATTATTTTCGCAAGGAAATCGTTTTTCAATGCATTATCTGCCAATTTGTTTCTTATTAAAAACAAAAAAAGAAGAATCTTACTCTTCAAGGAGACCGATTTCACCAATAAAAAGGATCACATGTCCACTCGGCAAACGAAAAACTCTGCGACATCAACATTGTACACAATTCTTTAGTTTGTTCTGAAAATTTCTATTATAAAATTCTTAACTGAAGTGTCTATGCCTCAATTGCAATACCCTTAATTATTCTTTTGATATAACTTATACACTGTCAAGTGCCACTAATTCAAAAAACTTGAAATTTTCTATTGATTTTGGTTTTTTAAACACATGATACTAACGTAAGTTTAAAATGACAAGCGATATTCAAGATTAAAATAAATTATACCATTTGTCATCTGTAATTGTAAACATCACGCTACAGTTTCCTGACATATGATGATTTGAATAATTCATATATATATTTCATGATGAGAATTCCTAACACCGGACAGCGTAATAAAACAATATTACTATAAAAAGAAACGATCGAAAAACAAGAAACTGTCATTTTTCATCTTGTTGACTTCCTATCTAACTTTCATTGTTTATGCATCGATAAAAAGAAAGACTACGGATGTTTCGTATCAACTTCTTTTGTCTTTGGTTAGTGTCAAATCCGACATCGCAAAAATGATTTAATGATATTTCCTAAGAACACGTTCAGGACGTTTCCGAACTCTTTCACGTAATATTTCCCACGAATTCATGTCACATCTAATGTGCTCTTGACATGCCGAAAAACTATTTACATAAAAGCTTTTGGAATGAAAGTTGACTCAATCATGATTAGGAAATATATTGAACTTGAAAATAGATAGAAACTAAAAGTTTAGCTGAAGAGAAATTCTGCTACAAAAGAAATTAGCTTTCAACGCATATACGTCTGCAAGTGATCATTGTGCGCAAAAAAAACTAATAGACGAGGAAATGAATTATTCTATTCAGAAAATCGACACTTGTAAATCGTTTTACTTCAACTAAATCAACAATAAACTAGTATATAACAAATATTCAAAATGTAGGGTACGAATAATTGTAATTATGCAAAACACTAATATTCTATATAACTAAATTTAATCTATTGGTGAAATGATCAAAACAACAAATTCTGTCACTATTAACTTTTACATTTTGGGTGTGACTGAGATTGGTTCGTATTCGATTTTATTTCATACATATATATATATATATGAGGAGCAAATTATCTATTGAAAAATTGATGAAAATCGTTCATCTTCCTACACTTTTATTCCAAACGAGAAAATAAAGAAGACAGGATTGGCAAGAAAAAAGGAATAGAAATAATTGTCTTCTTAATTGAATACACACATTTAGTGATATTTAGCCCATTTATATTGTTCTAAAGAAGAAAAAAAAACAGAAACACATTTATAGTAATAAATATTTCAATAGAAATAGTATACTTCTATCAGGCATGGCAAAGAAAACAAAATTGATCAATGAAGCGACAACAAATATTTGTGTGTACCAAATGAGATTTGGTTTTTTATTATCCAAATAAGCACGATAAAATTTCCAAAATGCTACACAAAATAAAATGTAACTATTTTAAATACAATCACAATAACCTTACTTCGAATACCGCCTTGATAAATTCCCATTGGAGTTTTATCTCGTCGAGCAATCCACGCTGGAATCTCAGCTAACTTAACATCACCCAAATGAAGATCGCCTTGATGAAAAATCACATTTTAATTATTTAAAAGAAGCATTCTGTTTTTCTAAAACTTACGTTTTCCGTAGTAACGCCATGGACAATAAGGTCCATGTACACGAGGATTGAAAGCACGTGGATATTCATTAAAAACTTTAAGATATTGGGCCAAATTTAAATATTGTAAAGGATCCCATTTAGCTTTTATACGATCGGGATTACCCGGAATAATAGTTTCATTACTTTTACTATACCAATTTTCACCCATGATCTATAGTTTAATCTGAAGAAATAATAATAAAAATAATAACAAATTTTAAGAATGTTTTGCCTCGAAATCTATGGTGGTGGTCGCCATTATTCCTGTGTTATGTATGCTTTTTACTACCAATCAGAAGATGAAAGCGCTACGTTCTACGTAACAATAATAATAAACAAACGAAAATCTCAACCTCTAATAAAGAAGAGAATATTTTCTTGTCAAAGAAACAAAATCATGGTTGTCGTCATTTACAACTTTTTAGATAATAGAACGTATCAAAGTGAGTCTATTCATCATTACTAGTTATGACATAGCTCCATATTCATGTAAGTTACGTTTTGAAGTTTTTTGGTTAAGTTGTCATTTTCATTTTTATTAAGTCATTCGAATATGCCTTTAACAGATTTTGTCTACATTAGCGGAAAAAAATAAAAATAAAAATTGTTTTCTTTTAATGGATCTTATTTCATCTGAATGGTTTAATTTTAAAGAAAACGTTTGGAATGACAGAATGGAATAAAAGAGCCAAAAGCACGTCTATAAACAAGAAACACACTGATGACAATTGACATACAACACATAGGAAAATATACACACATAGGCGCACAGTGTTGAGCACATCGAAAAACAAGAAGAAAAAGAATAAGAAGAATTTATTTGTTTAAAAGCATTTTCGGTGAACAATTGATGGGCCTGATTCATCATATTCTTGTTTGGAAATCCACATTTGTTGAAATGTTGATAATGAGGCTAAGATTGAACCACCAATCCATACTGAATATTTTCGTTCAGGTGGTGCAATGATTTTGATTTTCATTGTTGATGGTGCTAATGATGTTATTTCTTTTTGCATACGATCAGCAATACCTGGATACATAGTTGTACCTATAGGAGAGAGAGAGAAAGAGAAAACATATTGTCGTTAGAAATCAGAATTAGTCATCTAGATATTGATCTTACCTCCAGAAAGAACCGTGTTAGCATATAAATCTTTACGGATATCAATATCGCATTTCATGATTGAGTTGTATGTTGTTTCATGGATACCTATTAAGAATAGATTAACAGTTATAGGATATTTAAAAACAATAAGAGTTATTAATAACTCACCAGCTGTTTCCATGCCGAGGAAGCTTGGTTGGAACACAGCTTCTGGGCAACGGAAGCGTTCATTACCGATTGTAATGACTTGGCCATCAGGCAATTCATAACTCTTTTCTAATGATGATGATGAAGCAGCTGTAGCCATTTCTTGTTCGAAATCTAATGCAACGTAGCATAGTTTTTCTTTAATATCACGAACAATTTCACGTTCAGCTGTTGTGACAAATGAATAACCACGTTCAGTTAAGATTTTCATTAAATAATCAGTTAAATCACGACCAGCTAAATCGAGACGAAGAATAGCATGTGGTAATGCATATCCTTCATAGATTGGAACTGTATGTGTAACACCATCGCCCGAATCGAGCACAATACCAGTTGTACGACCAGATGCATACAATGACAGTACCGCTTGAATAGCGACATACATAGCTGAAAACAAATCATTCATTAATTTAGTTATTAAATTTTTCATTTGATGTCACAATTCTCATACCTGGTGTGTTAAATGTTTCGAACATAATTTGTGTCATTTTTTCACGGTTAGCTTTTGGATTAAGTGGTGCTTCAGTAAGAAGTACCGGATGTTCTTCAGGCGCAACACGAAGTTCATTGTAAAAAGTATGATGCCAGATTTTTTCCATATCATCCCAATTGGTAACAATGCCATGTTCAATTGGATATTTCAATGTAAGAATACCACGTTTTGATTGTGCTTCATCACCGACATAGGAATCTTTTTGGCCCATACCAACCATGACACCTTGATGACGTGGTCGACCAACAATCGATGGAAATACGGCACGTGGAGCATCGTCACCGGCAAAACCAGCTTTGCACATACCACTACCATTGTCAATAACAAGAGCTGCTACATCGTCGTCACACATTTTTGCTAGAATTTACTAGAATTTGAAGTATTGTTGGTGGAAAATGTGAATTTGTGTGTGTTCTTAAAAAGAATAGCCTGAAATGGTGATAGTTTGCTGTTTTGTTTCGACTTATATACAAACCACGGACGAGTATAGTGTTCCTTCTCTCTTTCTTATTCATCGTCGGCTTGAAATTCTATTTGTATTGCCATATAAGGGCATTTAAGGCGAACGCTCGAACCAATGACGACAATGCAACGGATTGAAGAACGCAAACGAGGGTGGAGAGTATGCGCACACATACGAAGACAATGCGTGTGAGTTAGTGTTTAGTCATGTTTCGATAGTGAGAGACGTGCTTGCTTATGGTAGAACGACAACGAAGATGGTCATTGTATAGAAAGATTACGCATCACATCATCATCAACAATAACACAAAAATAAAATTGATAACACGTAAAAGAATAAACATTATGAGAAAACAAAACATTTTTATTTATATTCGTTCTTAATTGATAAAAAAAAAACACAGAGAAAATTCTCGAACTAATTTGAACTTGAATAATTGATACCAATACTGAATATATTTATTTTTTCAGATTAAATTAAATTTAAAAAAAAAACATAAACTAAAAGAAAAATGGGTATTCTTGAAAAAATTGCCGATATCGAAAAAGAAATAGCACGAACACAAAAAAATAAGGGTATAGATAAATGAATCTATACAGCTCAATTAATTAAAAAAATATATCATTTTTCTAGCAACTGAATATCATTTGGGTTTACTGAAAGCAAAATTAGCAAAATTTCGTCAAGCATTGATGGAAGGTGATGCTAAGAGTGGTGCGGGCAAGGTTCGACATATAAATATAAATATAAATAAAAAAACAGAAACAAAACCTGAATATTTTTTCTGCCTCTGTAGGGTGAAGGTTTCGATGTTGTTAAATCCGGTGATGCTCGTATAGCTCTTATTGGCTTTCCATCCGTCGGTAAAAGTACTTTACTGAGTACAGTTACACGTACTGAATCAACAGCGGCTTCTTATGAATTTACAACTTTAACTTGTATTCCGGGTGTCATTCAAGTAATTATTTAATCAAGAAAAATTATGTAATATAAATTTTGTGTATTTTTTCTTTATAGTATAATGGTGCTGAGGTACGTATCTTTTGTTTGCGGAGTTATTTCAAGAACCTTAGGTGATTCATCTGTAGATTCAATTGCTCGATTTACCTGGTATCATTGAAGGAGCTGCTCAAGGTTTGTGTTCAAAATTCTTTTTCGGAAAGAAAACATATATTGACTAAATAATAGGCAAAGGTCGAGGTCGTCAAGTTATCGCTGTAGCTCGAACTGCTGACATGGTTCTGATGATGTTAGATGCTACCAAGGGTGAAAAACAAAGGTATATTAGTCTTGTATTCACCAAATCTATCACTCATACGAAAGAACCTAACAAAAACCATTGGTTTTATTTGATTTAATAGAGAAATTCTTGAAGAGGAACTTGAAAGTGTCGGCATTCGATTAAATAGACGTAAACCAGATATATATTTTAAGGTATTGATGTAAGTGAACAATCGATATGAATATAAATTTGATTTTAATTAAATTAGCCAAAAAAAACTGGCGGCATTAATATAACAAGTACAGTCCCTATGACAAGATGTTCAGAAAAAATGATTCAACTGATACTTCATGAATATAAAATGTTTAATGCTCAAGTACTTTTTCGTGATGATTATACAAGCGAAGATTTTATTGATGTTGTAGTTGGCCGACGTGTCTATATGCCTTGTCTCTATGTAAATAAATAAATAAGATAAATATGTTGATCTTTATTTGTAAAAAAAAATAACAATTATTCATTTAGGTTTATAATAAAATTGATCAAGTATCAATTGAAGAAGTTGATCGACTTGCTCGATTGCCAAATTCAGTTGTTATTAGGTATACAGAGAAAAAGAAATATCAATTAATTAATTTTATATTATTATTTATTTACAGTTGCAATATGAAATTAAATATTGATTATATGCTTGAAAGTATATGGACATTATTAAATTTAATACGTGTTTATACAAAGAAACGCGGTGAAAAACCTGATTTTGAAGACGGATTAATTGTTCGAAATGGAACAACTGTTGAGCATGTCGTAAGTTCTCATAGATAGCTTCCCTTTTCTATTTACTATCTATCTTTCATATAGTGCCGAATGGTTCATAGAACATTGGTTGATCAATTCAAATATGCTCTTGCATGGGTACAGTAAATATTTCATTCTGTTCCTATGGATATTGTTTCTATCTCTCGGGTTTTAATGTTATTCTAACAATAGGTTGTAATTTCCTTAGAGTAAAAAAAATTGTTTACCGATGATTGAAAAATAGCTGGGATAATTTCGAATAATAACTTGTTTTTTTGTTTTTGTAACTTTGAATTTTTGCTTTTTTTATTTCAGGGTACATCAGTAAAATTCTCACCGCAACGTGTTGGTCTTTCGCATGTTTTACAGAATGAAGATGTGATTTGTTTAGTAAAAAAATAAATTAAATACCAATTGTTGTGCTTTTGTTTTGCAACAAAATAACATTATTAAAAAAAAACAGGAGAAAAAGCAAGCAGTTTTGTTTGTTCCATTTATGCATGTTTTAGATGACTGATGATGAGAATGAACCATTATTACGCGATAATGGTCGTCAGGTATGATATTAAAAATAGTTCTTTTTGTAGATAGAATCGAAAAGTTTTCTTTCTCCGTAGCATACATACACTTCGCTTAATTCATATATAACAGCAAATGCTAACACGACGCAGTCATCTTCAAATACAACGTTTGCTTCCGGTGAAAAATTACTCTCGGGTCGTTATGAATCCCTTGATTATGAATGTGATGAAAGTGAAATTGCACATATGGAAGAGAAACGTTTGGGTTATCAACATACACGTCGTTTAGTTGCATTGAAATGGCTCATTATGTTATTGATTGGTATATCGACTGGATTAACAGCTGTATTTGTTGATTATACTGTAAAGAAATTAACAAAATTTAAATTTAGCTATGTACAAAATAAACTGGATTACTGTTTAGCTGAACATTGTTTGTTTCAACCATATCTATCATGGATTGGTATAAATATGGGTATGGTTCTTATTGCGGGTTTTCTTATTCTTTGGGAGGTAAATAGTTTCATTCAATGAAATCAATAGTTTGATTTCTTTACATTTATCATAGCCAGTTGCACGTGGTTCAGGTATTCCACAAGTTAAATGTTATCTTAATGGCGTAGCTGTTCCACATGTACTTCGTTTGAAAGCATTAGTTGCCAAAGTATTAGGTGTTATATTTGCTGTATCCGGCGGATTAGCTGTTGGAAAAGAAGGACCTATGTGAGACATTACGAGAAATCATTGTTGTTGTTTTTTTACGAGGATTATGTTCTTTCTTTCTATATAGGATCCATTCTGGTGCAATTATTGCTGGTGGAATATCACAAGGAAAAAGTAGTTCGTTGAAAATTGATTTTCATGTAAATACGATTCGTGAAAAACAAAATATGAAAAAATCAAAATTTAGATATTTTCGTAGATTTTTAAATATTTTCGTACGGATAAACATAAACGTGATTTTGTAGCTGCTGGTGCTGCAGCTGGTGTTGCCGCAGGTAGAATTATTGACCGATGAATAATTATAAAAGATTTTAAAATTTTCTAGCGTTTGGTGCTCCTGTTGGCGGTGTTTTATTTGCTTTAGAAGAAGGTGCTAGTTTTTTTAATCAACAATTAACATGGTTTATTGTATGTGGATTTAACACAATTCATTCGGAAATAACTGTGTTTTTGTAATTTAGTTTTTTGCTTCGATGGTATCAACGTTTACTTTAAACGTTGTCTTGAGTGCAATAGAAGGCCATTTTGGTGATTTATCATCGCCTGGTTTAATCAATTTTGGACTTTTTAACGTACGAAAAAGCAAAAAATTTTCTAATTAACTTTACCATTTGTTTTAGGATGTTCCATATATGTGGTTTGAATTACCTTTATTTATTCTGGTGGGTTTTATCGGCGGTATCTTTGGTGCTATGTTTAATCAATTAAATTTACGTTTAACTAAATTTCGACATCATTATATAAATAAACGTTGGCTATTAGTTATTGAATTACTGCTTGTTGCAGCAACAACTGTTGTCATAGCGTTTCTGTTGATTATCGGAACCATGAATGAATGTCGACCGATTAAAACTCAATTAGAACTTAATTCACCAACAATACAATTATTTTGTCCCGACGGACAATATAATACAATGGCAACGATTGTTTTCAGTACGCCCGAACAAGCCGTTAGAAATTTATTTCATAGTGAAATAGGTAAAAGTCTTTAAAGAGAAAGAAGAAGATAGAAAATATTCTCTCATTTATTTTTAGGAACTTACAATGCATGGAGTTTGTCGGCATTTTGTATTGTTTATTTTTGTTTAACATGTTGGACCTATGGTGTTATTGTCAGTTCGGGTCTGTTTATTCCAAGTCTTTTGATTGGAGCTTCGTGGGGGCGATTGATAGGAATTATTCTTCATACATTATTTCCAACATGTGTTAAAGTTAGTTTTAAATTGTTCTCATATTATATTACTTTTTTGTTTGATTTTACTAGTATTTTGATCCTGGTAAATATGCTCTATTTGGTGCTGCATCGCAACTTGGTAAATATTATATTCTGAAATAAATAATATTTTTTTAAATTGATATTTCTATTCAGGTGGTACAATGAGAATGACAATTAGTCTTGCAGTTATTTTAATTGAAGCTACTGGCGATATTGTACTTGGCCTACCAATTATGATTGTATTAACAGTGGCAAAACTGACTGGTGATTATTTTAATGAAGTAAGACGAATGTTAAGAAAATGTTGTATGATGAAAAATTCATTTATTTAAGGGATTTTTCGATATTCATATTGCTTTACAAAGTGAGTTTAGAAATGAATTGTTTAGGAAAGTTCTTATGTGTTGTTTTGTTGTCAATGTTAGGTGTACCGTTTCTACCATGGGAATCTGACGCATTTGCATCGCAACTTTCGGCTTTGTAAGTTAAAAGAATTCTCTTGTTGTTCATCAGGTAAACTTGATGCTTTGTTTCTTGCAGAAGTATTATGTCAGCGCCAGTGATTCAAATAAAAACTGTTGAAAAAGTTGAGAATATTTACTGTATTCTACGTTCTGAAAGTCATCATGGTTTTCCAGTTGTTGATCATCATGAAGATAATGTTTGTTTTTTCTTGTTTTCAATATTAAGTACATCGAAATCTATATTTTAGATAGCTAATCAGCGATCTGGTACCTTTCAAGGAATTATTCTACGACATCAACTTATCACCATATTAAGAAAACGAGTTCGTTAATGAAATAAATAATTGTTTTTATTATTCTACTATGATATTTTCTTTTAGAATTTTATTTCCTTCAATGACAATCTTCGTGATTATTTAACAGTTGATGATTTTCGTGAAAGTTACCCACGCCATCCATCCATTGAAGTAAACAAAAATAGAAAGCTTTTATCATTTTCCTTCAGGCATGAAAATCGCCAACACGACTCAGGTTTTCACTTAATTCCCTAGAAATGCAATTACGAAATAGATGAAAAGCATTGATTGCTTATCAATGGAGCGCATCATGATCTTTAAGAGAGAAGTACAATGAATCATTGTCGTATGATTTTTATTTTCCGAAATAAGTTATCTACCGAATTAGTTTGATTATAAAATATTGCCCTTCGAACGCAGTAAACACTTTGAGGATGTTCACTGGATGAGGACAAGCCACCATCTTTAGTTCCCGTTTACTTTTATATTACGTTTTCATTTGAAATTTTATTTTAGAGTGTTCATTTGACTAATGACGAGCGAGAACTTTATTGTGACCTGAGACCGTATATGAATTTAGCTTATACTGTTTCACATGTAAATATAATATTTTCTATTTAATCGATGACTTATGGTATATTTCTCTCTTCATCATAGCGTTCAACACTTCCACGTATCTTCGCAATGTTTCGTGGTCTTGGTTTACGCCATCTCGTTGTTGTTAACGATAAAAATGAAGTTGTTGGAATGATTACACGAAAAGATTTAGCTCGATTTCGTATGAAGCATAAAAAAGGTCATACATCGATTGAAGAACTCGCTATATCAAACTAAATCGCAATCTATATTATTTATTTTTCGTTTTTAAAATAAGCACCGGCTGAATACAAGTACGTTTGTTATTATCTTTATTTACTTAAGAAATCTTTTTTCTTGTGCAATATGTTCAACCATCTTTTTGTTTTTTTCGGTCTTTCATGTGAATGTTAACATGCTCAGATAAAATATATTCTTCAATATTTTGTATACGATTAAATAAAACAAAAATGGTAATGGGATTTCTAATCTTTACGTCTTCGAACTTTCCTATGTATTTAATTTTGTTTGGTCAAATTAACAATCTATGGCGACGCATCGATTATTTTCATTGTCCCATACTCCGTCGGATGATGCATTTTCTTTTTTATATGCAGTTTTTTTGTTACAGAAATATTTGAAAATAATTCAATTCTCGAAATAAAAAATATCGGCAAGGTTTTGGTCATTTCTGTCGAGCGAAAATAAATTTTTAGGATAAGATCGTAGAATGTTTGAACATGAATTTTTATCTTTTGGTCAAAATCTTCTATTTACATTTTCAAGGCGTAATATTGCAAAAATAGAAAAGAAGGATGAATTGAAATAGTGTTGCCTACTTTTTTCTTCTTCTAATGCAGCACATATCATCTGTTGATGATATCAGTCCATTAAGAAAAATCATGTAGACGTCATAGTCACTCTGTCAGTTAGTTTATTTTCAAATGACTTTCAGCAAGAAAAAGTTTTATTTTCTCAATTGGATCTTAACTGCTCCGGTTACACATCAACTGGATGCAACAAAAGGCAATGAAGTTATTCAAATATATATCCAAGATCTAGATGGATGTCGAAATGTAAAAGACTATACATTTCCAATTGTTCAAGCAGGTCTGTCATTTGCCGCGCTTAAAATTCATTTATTATATCCAAAAACTAAGTGCTCAAATAGAGCTCAACGGATTCTCGTTAAAATAAGAATTTTACGTGGAATTCAAGAACAAGTTATTTATACAAACGACTTCATGTTATGGGCACCTCAACATATTAATTCAAATATTCTCCAAATACCAATTTATCGTATATGGTACGAGGATGATTATTATAATATGCTCTTGGCAAATTTGTTTTCATAAACTTTAAAAGAACTGAGAACATTTCACTTGTGCGTAAATATTGTAAACATAACTTTAGTGAAAAAATAAATAGATGAAGATCAATGATCGATTGAGCTCTTTTAAACGAACTGTAATTTAATTAGACGAAGAAATTAAATGGTTTGATCGACGGGAAGTACTTTGATGTAGAACGCAAGGCAATATTTGACTGACGTCATAGGAATATCGAATGTGAACATAAACGAATCTATGCATATCAATAAATGGGAATTTGATTATATGATTTCTAGTAAAAAGACTAAGGAGCATGTCTCGATTTTTAACATTAATGTTATATCACAAGAGCGAAGGGTAAAACGAGCCGGGGGGG